CGCTGGTGCGGATGGTGCTGGCGACCGCGCCGCCCGACGAGGCGCCCGATCCGGGCAGCGCCCCGTCCTCCTGATCGCGGCGCATGCTCAGCGTCGCCCATCGCCGGCCGGCTGAAGGGTGAACTCTATGAACCGCGTCAGCTCGCCCTGAGACAGTTTGCGCGGTTCGCCGAGCTCGAACAGGGTCTGGCGCGCGAGCACGACGCGGGCGGCCAGTGCAATCGACCGGTTCTCCAGGGACGTCGCCGCCGGTAGCCGCAGCGAGAACCCCGTCGGCAGATGCCAACCGCTCCGTACGGCCTGTTCTGCCAGTATGAGCGGCGGATCCTGAGATGTATCCAGCAATTGGACCTGTAGTTCGACGCCTCTCGGCAGCGGCTCCTTCACAGGGTAGGTCGCGGAGCCGTTGATCACGATCGCCGGCGGCAGGCGGTCGCCGAGGTCTCGCAGCAGCGCACTCGCATGAAACATCGTCGCCAGGCCCTGGGCATCGAGAACGCAAGTGAAGCGGAAGAGGAACGACGTTCCGTCGCGCCGCTTGGCCCAACCGTTGCCTGAGATCGTTGTCTGGTGGGCCTGCGGATCCGGGTCATCGTCGGCCTTGTCGACCGTCATCCAGGGCCGGCCATCGAGCGCCAGCGTCATGAAGGCGGGATCGCCCTGTCGTACGGTGCCGCCGGCCTTGCCGGCGCATCGCGAAAGCAGGGGCATGGACGAATTGTCCAAAGTCTCGGCGCGGAGATCCAGCGACAAGGCCAGCGCGAGAAGCGCGACAACCGCCTGCGCAAGACGAATGCAAAGCGTGCGCACCAGGGACATGGGGGCCGGTGGCTGTGGCTGATGCTCCATCTCCTGCTCCTCCGCCGTCGCAAGGCGGCCCTGTGAGATCCGTGGCTGGGCGAAGCGGCACGGTAGAAGCGGCAGGAGCGATCCCCATGATCCAGATCAACGAAGGGTCCTTTCGGGGTGAGGCACGATCGCCCGCCGGACGTCACGGGCTTGAGCCATATCAAGGGCTGCCCCGGCCTTCCGGTTTATTGGAAGGAACGTATCCCGCACGGGGCAAGTCATGCTGCGCTGGGGCGCACTCCTCCCGATTGGCGTTCTGGGCTTCGGTGGCTTGATCCTGGCGGGTCTGATTCAGGACGTTCGAGTCTTCGTCATCTGTCTGCCGTTCAGCCTGCTGGCCGTCCTGCTCTGGTGGCGGCTGATGAAGGGCGCCGACGATGCAAGACGGGCGCACCGAGACAAGGGAGATGACAGATGCAACTGAAGCAGATTCGACTGGAGCTGGCCCGCACGCCCGAGTTTCCCAACGGAAGCGCGGCGCACGGTTACGAGCTTGTGGCGCCACTGGACGCCAAAGGTCATCTCGACCCGGCGGGATTTTCGGATGCCAAGGCGGCCTGCACCGTTCGCCGGTTCTGGGAGGGAGCCGACGACGAACATGGTGCGCTGATCCATACGCGCGGCGGCTGGGTGTTCTCGTATGCGCCGGGCCCCGATGACGATGAGCCGATCTTCAAGCTCGACCGGCATCAATTCG